AGCCCGAACACTAAAAAATCGTCCCACACCCTCGGGGAAACGTGCATTTTGGCAGTTCCTGGGCTTGCCCTCTTCATAGAGTCCAAGACGGCCATACAGAGGCCCAAGATGGCCTTAGGACGTCTTCTGAGGCGCCCCTGGCGGCCCACGGGGCACCCAAGACAGCTTCAAGAGCGGCCCAGGACGGCCTTAGACGACCCCCTGACGGTGCCCAGACTGCTCCAGAGACGTCCAAGACGGCCCCAGACAACCCTCAGACGGCCCCGGACCGCCTCCACACGGCCCAAGAGGCACCCGAGACAGCCCAAGCCCAGGAGGCTTCCGGGAGGCCGAAAAGAAGCGCTGAGAGGCTCCAAACGACCCCCAGGGGCCCCAAGATCACGGCCCAAGAAGCACAAGACAGCACCAACAGCAGCCAAAGACGGCCACAGACGGTCCCAAAACGGCTCCCAGCGCACCATGGGCCTATGATGCTTGTTTGGCGCTCCCTGCCGGATTTGGCCTCAAAATCCCTCGCCCTTTTTGTCGGTCTGGAGCCTTCTCCGCGGCCTCTTGGGGCCATGCTGTGTTTCGCTCTTCTGGTGGCCCAGAATCGCCTCGGCCGACCCCAGAAGCGCGCGCGGCCGCCCAGGGCGCGTTGGGCGGGATTCTGGGTCGGCGGCGCCGTGGCCCAGAATCGGTCCCGCCGATTCTGGCTGGGCGGCCATGATGGAGCTATCTTGGAAGCGTGTTGGTGATCTTGGGGCCCCTCAGAGGCCCCCCGGACGGCCCCAGAACGCTCCGAGAAGGTCGGACCCAACGCAACGACAAAGCCCGACACGATCCCAAGGGAGCCCTTGAGCGCCCCAGGTGGGGCGTCCAGACGCTCCTCCGTCTCCTCACTCAGCGATGTGTGGCAGGCGAACATGACGCCATTCATCCTGATCGCCTTGCAACAGCACCACTTCACCCCGCAAGTGGACGTAGTCCACGGGTCAGCCCTAGTCCTTTACAGCGCTGGGATCAGCGCGTGCGGGAAGGGCGAGCAGTGGCAGCGGGCGCTGGCGCTGCTGAGCGAGATGTGGCAGGCGAAGCTGGAGCCCAACGTGACCTGTATCGTACTGCTGGGCTCGGCGCGTGCCGGAAGGATGCGTTGCTTGCACCCACGGGGCCCGCAGCGGCGGCGGCGCCTCCGCGGCCCCGCTCGCGGAGCGACGCCGTCCGGGCCCAGGAGAGCACCGCGAGTGCCCCGGAGGGCCCCTCAGAGCGCTCTTCTGCAGCGGAAGAGGCCTCCCAGACGGCCGAGGAAGGCCCCCACCAGGCTCCACCAGGCTCCAGGATGGCCTCCGAGGGGGCCACGAGGACGTAAAGCTAACGATATCATTGAGGTTCCTTCTACTTCCTGTTGCGATCGCTTCTCTGGCCACAAGGCGCCCAACCCTCCCCGAGATGCCTCCCAATTCTTCCAGGAGGCGCCTAGGTGACTCCCAAGAGAGCCCCTGTGACGGCCCTGGAGACCCTCAAGGCGGCAGCGGGGATTTCCGAGACGGCTGAACAGCCCCACAAGACGGCCCCAAAGGAGGCCCCATAGGGCCAATTCTGGAGCGATCCCCGCTCCTCCCGCCCCCCCCGTTGCCAGCAAGCCCCAAGAAGCCCCCCAGAGGCTCCCAGACGGCCTCCAGAACACTCCCCAGAGACTCCCAGAAAGCTTCCAGCAGCTCCCTCGAGACGGCTCTCACATGATCCTAGAAGGCCCCAGTTCATTGAAAAAGCCATACCCCACGGGTTCCCAGAAGGCCTCCAGCAGCTCCCTCCAAACTGCCCCGACAGGCTCCTCGAAGCACCAGATGATTGGACAACAAGCTACACACCACACCTCGTGGGACACCTCTTGCGCGGGAGGGAGTGCAGAATATAGCTGTCCGATGCAGCCGCGGGCACCCTGGAGCGCTGTTTCTGCAACCTTGCCCGCGCCGAGCGTGTGCCAAGAGGTGTGGGGTGTGGTTGTTTCCGATCATCTTGGGCCTTCTCCTTGTCCTCCACGTCGTCGCCCTCCTCCGCCACATGCGCTCCTTCCCGCGGAGACGGAACCGCACGATTTCCCGGAGCGGGACGAGGAGGACGAGGAGGACGAGGAGGACGAGGACCAGGAGGACCAGGAGGACCAGGAGGACCAGGAGGACCAGGAGGACCAGGAGGACCAGGAGGACCAAGAGGACCAGGAGGACCGGGAGGACCAAGAGGACCAGGAGGACCGGGAGGACCGGGAGGACCCGGAGAACCAGGAGGACCACGAGGGCCAGGAGGACCAGGAGGACCAGGAGGACCAGGAGGACCAGGAGGACCAGGAGGACCAGGAGGACCAGGAGGACGAGGAGGGCGAGGAGGAAAAGAAGAAGGAGGACGAGGAGGACGAGGAGGACCAGGGTGGTGATGATGATGATGATGATGATGATGATGATGCTGATGCTGATGCTGATGCTGATGCTGATGCTGATGCTGCTGCTGATGATGATGATGATGATGATGGTGATGGCGATGATGATGGTATGATGGTATGATGGTATGATGGTGATGGTGATGATGATACGAATAATAATGATGATACTGATGATGATGATGATGATGATGATGATGGTGATTCTGATGATGATCATGATGATGAAGAAGAAGAGGAGGAGGATGGTGGTGGTGATGATGATGCTGCTCTTGAATTGATGGTGATGATGACGATGATGGCGAAGAGGAGGAGGAGGAGGTGGAGGAGGAAGAGGATGGTGATGGTGGTGATGATGCTGCTGATGATGATGATGATGACGATGACGATGCTGATGACGATGACGATGCTGATGCTGAGGATGATGATGAGGATGAGGATGACGATGATGATGACGATGATGACGATGACGATGACGATGACGATGACGATGATGACACTGATGATGATGCTTATGGTGATGATGATGAAGCTGATGCTGATGCTGATGCTGGCTGATGATGCTGACGATGCTGACGATGCTGACGGTGATGATGATGATGACGATGATGATGATGATTACGATGATGATGATGATGATGATGATGATGATGATGATGATGATGATGACGAGGACGATGACGATGACGATGATGATGATGCTGATGATGATGCTCATGGGGATGGTGATTGTGAGAATGAGGATGGTGAGGATGAGGACGAAGATCAGGATTAGGATCAGAATGATGATGCTGCTGATGATGATGATGACGATAACGATAATGATGACAATTATGATGCTGATGCTGATGACGATGACGATGATCATGATGATGACGACGATGACGGTGATGATGATGATGATGACGACAATGATGATGATGATGATGATGATGATGATGATGATGATGATGATGATGATGATGATGATGATGATGATGGTGGCGATGATGATGATGACGCTAGCAATGAGGCCGACGATGATCATTATGATGCTAATGATGATCATGGTTGTGGCGGTGGTGATGATGATGGTGTTGGTGAGGGTGATCTGGCTGATGACGATGATAATGATGATGATGCTGATGATGATGATGCTGATGATGATGATGATGATGATGATGCTGACGATGATGATGGTTATGATAATGATTCTGATGATGATGGTGGTGATGATTATGATAATGATGATGACGATGCTGGCGATGCTGATGGGATGGAGATTGTGGTGGTGGTGGTGACGATGACGATGAGGACGACGACAACGACGACGATGATGATGATGATGACGATGATGATGATGATGATGATGATGATGATGACGATGACGATGACGATGACGATGACGATGATCATGATGATCATGATGATGCTGATGATGCTGATGATGACGACGACGATTATGATGATGATGATGCTGATGATGCTGATGCTGATGTTGAAGATGATGATGGGGATGGGGATGGGGATGGGGATGGGGATGGTGGTGGTGATGATGATGAGGAGGAGGAGGAGGAGCAGCAGGATGATGCTCGGGATGAGGATGAGGATAAGCATGAGCATGAGGATGCGGATGCGGATGCGGATGAGGAGGAGGAGAAGAGGAGGAGGAGGATGAGGAGGAGGAGGAGGAGAAGGATGAGGAGGAGGAGGGGAAGGATGAGGAGGAAGAGGAGGAGCAGCAGCACCAGCACGAGCCGGAGGACGAGGACGGGCCGAGCACGCTTATGAGCAGGAGAAGGCGGAGGACGAGGACGAGCCAAGCTCGAGGAGGAGGAGGAGGAGGAGGAGGAGGTGGAGCTGATGCTTTTGCTACTGCCCATACCCCTGGATCTGATACCGCTGATACTGCTAGTTAGTGCTGCTCTGGACGCACTCAGAACATCCAGCAAACAGACCCTGAAGCAATGATCAGCAGCAAGGCTGCATGGACACTCTAAACACTGACACTCTGACCGTAGCCATTTTGGCTCAAGCCATTTTGGCTCAAGGCTGTGATTTTGGCTCAAGGCCTTAAGCGGACAGGATTTGTTTTATGAGCTCACGGCGCCAGGTACTCCAGGCGGCCCCCCCGGCGTTGCTCTAACGCTTGCGCCGCGATGTGGGGGTTACTTGAATGTATCCCTCTTGTTGCTCATTTGCTCCTGGAGCCAGCGTCGAGAAGGTTGGTGACTTGCGCGTGCGGGGCACTATTGGTGTTCATGCTACTGTTTCAGCCTGCCAGCTGCACAAGAAAGAGTACGTCGATGGTTGTGGCAGTTTGCAATCACGTTCAGTACTCCAACGTGCACGACCGTTTTATCGGGCTACTGGTGCTTGTGCGGACAGGCCCTGGGGCTTCTCGTGTTCCATTTGATGTTTTTGGTCATCGTCGGCGTGTGGCTTGCGCGTTGGTCGTGATTTCGACGTCGCGGGCTTACACGGACGACTTCAATTCTTGTCAACTGGGGTAGTAGTTATTACAGGATTTGTTTGGCCCCGGGCGCAGGGAAGGCAGTGGCGGCTCCACGCTGCGGATCCGCCGGGTGCTGCGACCCTCGTGGAGGATTCCGTCGCAGACTTCAGCACCAATTTTTTCGGCAAGTGGGACGCCTTCGATGGTTCGTTGGTCTCCTTTCAGCTTTGCTTTATTCTTGCCGTCATCGGATCCTTCGTCGTCTGCGGCTTTGCGGCCCTCGGCGTCTTCCTCACAGGCCTCCCCTGGCTGCTGACCAGCTCTCGGGGGGCTTGGGATCTGCCCTGCGCGGCGGCGGTCCCGAGCCCTAGGCACGTCAGGGTCAAGAGCGCGCTCTGCTTAAAGGCCTACAGGCGCTTCTAGCTCATTGTGCGACTTCTTCCACTCCCGCAGGGCCAGCTACGCCTCCGAGGGGGGCTCCACGCTCTCCGGGTACGCCCAGCTCCAAGACAAAACGCAAGCGGGCCAAACGCCAGGCCAAGGCTTGCGAAGGTTTGTTCGGGGCGTTCCGACGCATCGTGGAGCGAGCCGACAAGTCTGGCGACACCAAGCCCGTTCTCGACAAGCTGCGCCGCGTCGTCAATGCAGCAGTGGATGGAACGCTCGACTCATCTACTGCGTCCTCGACGAGTCGACCGAAGGCCACAGGCAAAGTCAGGGCTAAAGCGAAAGCGGAGCCCAAGACGAAGACGGTTTCTGCCCCGCGCGTTGCCGAGAACCTTCTAGGATCGGCGCCTTCACGCACGCCAACTCCGACCTTCACCCCTACTGCGCTCCGGCCGGAGCACTGGACGGGCACTCTCGTCACCTCGGGCACAGACCTATCGTTCCAGATCAAGGCTCAGGCGCACCTCGTACTCGGCGTCGTGCGACGCCTCCCCGACGGCATCGCTGAGCACACCTTGCCGCAGGGGGCGACCATCACGATCCTGCTGGACCGACCTGCGCCTGGTGCGACGGCACTTCGAGCGCCTGCGATTGACGCCAAGGGAGCGCCGAAGGTTGTCAATCTCTGGCTGTACCAATTGGGCGCTCCTGTCACAGCTTTCCGCTGGACCGCACGGCCTGGGAGCAGCGTTCTGATTGTCTCGATTTACGTAATATGCATTGTATTGTTTAATTTTTTGGGGCGGCCGACCTGCGCCCACGCGATCAACAACCAGCTGAGGCTTACGCGTGCATTGTTTGTTGACAACCAGCCTCCAGATGCTTGGCTGCAAGGTGATAATTTTGTCGGAGTTTCTCATGGATGCCCCCATCGCATGTTTTCTTTGCGACATTACATGCGACCGCTTCATCATGAGCAGGTCTTGGCGCGGGCTCTCAGCTGCCCTGGAGGCCACTCGTCAGATCGACTTCTCAATTGGCCCAGCCTCGAAGGTGTCCAAGTGCGCGCGCGGCGCAGCGGTGGCCTTCGGCCCACGGGTTCCCACGCGGACCGACGCAGCGCTATCCGAGATCGCCTGTCGCAGGACTTTCCGACACCTCGGGGGGGACCTCGTCATGGGCCATGCCGCAGCCGAGCCAGTGGCTCAACGACGGCTGCATGTTTTTCGGGGTCCGCCTTCAGGTGGTCAGGCTGTTGCCCTGCGCTCAGAAAGGCGCCTGTGTCGCCGGCGTCGCAGCCGCGCTCTGGTGCGATGGTGGGCACGCGCGCGCGCGTTCACAAATGATTTCGGCATCGCCGTGGGCGGCTTCGGCTCCCCTGGGCAAGACTAGGGCTGGAAACGCCATGCGGCGATCCCGGCCTGTGACTCACCTCTTGGGGCCTGGCTTACACCGCACTCACATGGCTTGCGTGGCCATCTACACGGCGATCCGCATGTGTTACCCCGCGGTGCTGGCCAACATGCCAGCATCGTGCCGGCGGACGTCTGGGCAGGCCTGTGGATTCAGCGCAAGCGATTTCAGTTTGGACCTTTTGCTCTAGTCGATCGTGGCTGTGCGACGCTGGACATTGAACTGCCGATTTCTCTATTCTTGCTCACCTTCTTCACCACCCACCAAACCACCCCAACCCAACCCGAAGGCCCAAATTTATCCTCGATTTCCAGTGGGGGGGGGGGTCGGGGAACGTTGAAAAAACACATGGTATCCGTACCCCCCCCCAACCCGAAATTCGGGTCAAATTCGGGTCAAATTCGGGTCAAATTCGGGTCAAATTCGGGTCAAATTCGGGTCTTCGGGTTGGGTTGGGGTGGTCTGGTAGGTAGTCATCTTCGTCGAGCTGCTCGGAGTGCAGTGCGCGGGCCCCGCAGGGCGGCCCACGTCGGTCTTCGTCTTCACGCGCCACGTGCTCCTCCGCGCCGGGGCGTCGCTGCACGCGGGGCCGCCCGCCGCCCGAAAGATTTCGGCGGGCTCGAACTCGGGCTCTTGGAGGACCAGGGGGCTTGGGAACAATTAAAAACAATAAATGTTGCCATTGACGTTGGAAATTATCCAAAAAACGTACAACAAACAGCATTTGATACTGCTGCTTTACATTGATAACACGTATGGGGCGCAGCTTCACTACGGCGGCCCTGCCTCAACGACAGCTGTCCCATGGACATCGCTCAAGATTTCTCGCGTTGCTGATCGCGAGACCGACGACATGTATGTTCGGTGTTGTGTGGCTGCCGAGACGGTGACACATTGTCTATGGGAGTGCCCAGGTAATGCAGCTGAACGGCAGATTTTCGATCTTCAGGTACCTGGCAATGAGTGTCCTCGTGGTTCACCGTCGTCTCTTACTCGATGTGATCTTCTTCCTGCCCTTCTCAGAGTCGATCCGGTTCCCAGTTTGACGGAAGCGAAAGCAATCTTATATTATTCTCTACGCGTGAGCGCTATTGCCACTCAGGCGGTAGTCGCCCAGCGCTTTGTTAAGTCAGTTTCTTTGACCTTGGATCCGCCGCGGGCGCGCCCCATCGATGATATTCACCGCGCGGCCCTTCGCCCTCTACGTCGTCTCAAGCGGCATGTTGGAGGGCAAGGCCATGGGGGGGGAGCTCCTCGAGGGTTACGCCTTCCTGCTCAACCTGCTCCTGGCTTCATGTCACCGGAGCTGATTGCGGTCTCCTGCGACGGCTCTTCGAAACAGTCCGCCGACGCTGCGGTCTCCAGCTGGGGGGTCACCGCGGCCGCGCCCGCGTCCTCTAGCTTGCTGGATTTCCGCGGCATCACCATCTTGGATCCAGAGCAGCAAACAAACATAGGGGCTCAACATCATACGAGTAATGTTGGTGAGTTATATGCGTTATGTTTTGCTTTGTGGTGTGTGCTTGAATCAATGTTGTCAGCGTTTGGCAACGCCTTCAATTTCATCTTACATCATCGAATACGACTCGGAGTACGCAGCAGGCGTGGCGCAGCGGCGCATCCGAGGGGCGGCGAATGTTCAGCTTGTTTTGCGGCTTCGCCACATGCTTGATTCGTTTGCTTGTTATGTTGTCTTCAGGAAGGTCGAGAGCCATCCTGGGCAATCTCTTAGAGATCGCGCTGGTCATCTGTCCAACTGCGGTGCCTCTGGAAGCGTAAGTGGCCCGGTCAATCTACATCGCTGGGCGAGCTCTTCGAGCTAATCGTCGTTTACTTCGAGGTCAGGCAGCCCTTGATCATGCTCAACATTGGCACTCGTGCACGGTAGTCCACAGGTCAGCCCTTGTCTGCACTTCAATTCTTGGCGTTGTGCGCGCGAACAGGGGTTGCAGTGAAAAAGATCCCCCCCCATCGACGGAGCCTCCAGTGGGTGCCCCCCCGAGGTCGGGCGTCGCCGTTGCCCGTTCTCTCGGGGAGTGCACTAAGTCTTCGCAGGATCTTTCGTCGCCGTTTTTCTCTGGGATTCCTCGGCGTTCTTCGGGGCGCGCGATGCGGACCGCGGCTTGTTCGCGGGCCTCCTCGGGGCGCGTGGCCTCATGGGGGGCGCCGCCGAAGGCCCCAGTGCCAGGGTTGACATATGTCCCTTGGAAAATTTGGACACGCGCACACGCACACGACTCGTGGCCTCATAGGGAGCTCCACCGAAGTCTCAATAGCAGGGCTCACACGCGTCGCAAGTCCAGTTTTGACACGCCCCTCACACGGAGCGTGGCTTCATAGGGGGACTCAGGGAGTTTCACCGAAGGCCTTCGTGGTAGGGTTCGCACCCGTCCCGGTAAGTGTTTTGGCGCGTCGTCGTCGCTGTCGACGAGGATAATTGAAGGTTTGTGTTTTGCTCGCCTTTTTTGTTCGGGTGGGTTTGTGTGGGGCGAGTCGCGTCGCCGTTTTATGTGACATTCGGTAAGTGTGCAGGAATTGAGTTATCTTCGCTGGTTTTTCTGAGCGGGTGGGTTGGGTCAGAATAAGCGGGAGTGGTTGAAAAAACTGCCCCCTGGCGCCCGAAACGTCCTGGCGCCCCCCGACGGCTCCAGAGAGCCCTTCGGTGGCCCAAGACGGCTTCTGACAGCTCCAAGACAGTTTTGAGACGCTCCAGAGCGCGCGAGGACGGCCCAGGAGGACCCGAACGGGGCCCCATGACAGCCGTAGACGGCCCGACGACGGGCCAGGTGCCTCCGAAAACGCTTGCATTGGACCCTTTATGGCGGTACTCCGAGGCCAAAATCAGATGTGTTCCTGTAGTTTTTGAGCGGTTTCCATGTTCTCGCCGTTTCGGGCCAATAACGGCCCCAGACGGCTCCAGGGCCACCCCAGATCGCCCCCAGACGGCCCCGGACGCCCCGCCAGGTACCCCAAGACGGCCCCAGAGGGCTCGAAGATTGCCCAGGAGAAGCCCAAGAGAGCCCTTGGTTGCCCACAAGACAGCCCAAAGAGGGGCCCAGGAGCTGCCCAACAGGCACCAACGCGAGCTCCAAAACGGCCCGAGGCTCCCTGTATGGCCCCAAGACGGCCCAAGAGGCCCCCGAGACTACCCAAGAAAACCCCGAAATGGACCACGAGGGCTCCTGGAGGCTCCAGAAAGACCACCACGAGCTCGAGGGGCCGAAAGGAGCCCAGAGGACGCACTTCCCGCAGTCCCCAATAGGCAAAGAACCCTCCGACGACCACCCCCACATGCCCCAGAGTCTCCCAAGAGACTCCGACGATTCCCAAGGAGATCCCAAGGAGAGTGCCTCGAGCCGCAGCACTCTTTCGCGGTATCTCGGACCCTCGAAGCCCCAAGAAATCCCCAGACCCCCAAGGCAGGCCCCAGACCACTCCGAGCTGCCCTAAAGCCTCCCGAGAGACTCGGATAGTCCCCACAGATCTCCGAAGATTGGTCCCAGGGCCACTCCGAGATACCCCAGAGTCGCCCACAAGACTCCGACGCTTGCCAAGATACTCTGACAATTCCTACGGAGCTCCCAAGAGCTGTCCGAGGAAGAGACTCACAAAGTTCCCACGGAGCTCCCAAGAGCGATCCCAGGACCACTCCGAAATGGCCCAGAGTCGCTCTCAAACCTCCCCCCAACGGCCGATTTGGGGTGACAGGATGGACCTTCTCCTCTGACCTCTTCCTCCTTCCCTCATCGAGGCTCGGGCCGTTCTGGGTCCTCCACTCCGCCTGTTTGGGGCGACAGGGGGGACCTACAGCCACTTTGGTAGCTCCCCCTCCATGGCCGATTAGGGGTGACAGGGGGGGGACCCGCAGACACTGCGGGAACCAGCATATCGCTCCCCCCCGACGGCCGAGTAGAGCCCTCGGTGGCCCTCAAGACAGCCCGAAGACCACGAGATCCCTCCCTGGGCCACTCCGAGATGGCGCAGACCGCCGCAGGGTATTCCAAGACAGCCTCCAGCCCCGGCTCCCGGAGCCTACAGCAAACCTTGCAGCTCACTTTAGGGATGACAGGGGGGACCTTCTAACAGCAACCTCACAGCACGCACGCACTAAGTTTCCCAGGCTGTCCCCCAGAAGATGCTCTGGAGAACAGCCCGGGAACGGCCCCAGAGGCGCCCCCAGACCGCAATAGGTTTTCAAGACGACCCAGACAGACTCGCAGGAGGGCCCAATATGCCCCCAACACAGCGCCAGGGACGCCCGAGCTGTTCAACTTTGACGAGCTGTTCACCCACGGTGTGCGAGTCTCAGGTTCAACACGCTATGGATTTAATCCATAGGTTCATAACAGTCAGCTACAACGCTGGGATCAGCGCGTGCGAGAAGGGCGGGCAGTGGCAGCGGGCGCTGTCACTGCTGAGCGAGATGTGGCAGGCGAAGCTGGAGCCAAACGTCATCAGCTACAACGCTGGGATCAGTGCGTGGGAAGAGGGCGGGCAGTGGCAGCGGGCGCTGGCGCTGCTCTGGGAGATATGTGAGGCGAAGTTGGAGCCCGATGTCACCAGCTACAGCGCTGGGATCAGCGCGTGCGAGGCCAGAGGGCAGTGGAACAAGGCGCTTGACCTGCTCGAGTCGATGCTGGGGGTCCGCGTGGACCCTGCTGCTGCCAATAGCCCTGACGACGGTTGGTACGTGCACGACCTCGAGGCAGGTGGCCCTAGGGATGTCTTCAAGCACATGGTTCTCGTGGCCCTGCTACAGCAGATGGTTGCAAGCGCGGATCCTTTCACCTTCATTGACATGCACGCTGCTTCTGGCGTCTACAACCTCAGTTCTGGGGAGTCGCTGCGATGTCGGATGTCTGACAAGGGCATTCTCCGACTTTCACGTGCTGCCGGTGGTTGCGGCGGTGGTCTGGTTGCAGATTATTTTGCCTCTGTGTGGAGGTGCAACCAGGCCTTGGGCTCCTCCTCGGGCGCCCTGAGCATCTACCCTGGATCGCCTGCGCTGGCGTGGCAGTGGCTGAGGCCACAGGACACCGCCGTTCTCTTCGAGTCTGTCGCCGAAACCTACGAGGCCTTGAGGCGCAGTTTCGCCTTGCTGGACAGAGATGGAGGTCGCCATCTCGCACTGCTGCACGACGACTCTTACCTGCGGCTCGCCCTTGGTCCGTGGCCCTGGCGCAGCGGGAGGCAGCTGGTGCTCATAGACCCGCCATACGATTCCGTGCAGTCCCACAACACGTGGAACGTCCTCGTCCTCAGAAGCCTGCTGCAGAAGTCGGCCTCCAGCTGCGTGGCTCTGTGGTACCCGCTGCTGGATCGCGAGAAGACCGCGAGCCTGCACAGCCGGGTCCAGAGCCTCGCCGCAGGAAGCGTGCTGGTGGCCGAGTTGTGGCTCGGCAGCTCGCCACGCGGAGATGACCTGCAGGGGTCCGGGGTGTTGGTCGTGAATCCGCCTCCCGCCGTCCATGCGAAGCTCGTTGCCGCGCTGCCCAGGCTGGGCGCGGCGCTGCGGGCCACGGGCTTCCGGGTGCTGTGGTTGTGAGGCATTTTTGGCTGGGCGGGGCCTTTCGGTGGCCTCGCGTCGTCGTCGGCCTCCGTCCTGGATTTGCTCAGGCCCACTTTCAGCACCAGCGTGGGCTCTCGCGGGCCGGGCGAGAAGGAGTCCGTGCCAAACCCACCTTCCTCGTCGTTGTGTGGCGTCGGCGCTTGCCACGGAACAGCTTTCAGGGGCGTGGTCGTGCAGCTTCATCGTCCTCGGAGGGCACGACCGTGCTTATTGGGATGCTTCCGATGAGTCTGGTTCGAGAATGGATGTGACATGGGATCGGCAATTTTCACCATGCAGTGGATCGCACCAGTGTTTCAAGGGACGGACGTGCTGCAAGACACCACGGCTACTAGCTGAAGCGAGCTCTTCAATGATCACATCGGCTTAAAGGGCGTGGTAGATAGCTGTCGCCAATGCATTTCGCCCCAGCAAGTTCTCAGAGCTTCGCCCCCTGAAGCGTGCGTGGGCCACGGGTCTCCACGTCAGGCGCAGCAGAGCCAAGACGCACACTAGCCACGCGAGATGGGGCCGTCTGGTCGCCACAGGCTGACGGATTCGTGGACAATCCCTTGGCGGTGCAGCAGATGCCGGGGTCGTCTGCGCAGAGGGTTGGCCGTACCTGCTTGACCGGCGTCGGAGAGCCGCGCGTCAACCAAAGCGGCATCTTCATTCAAGATGGGCCATCGAGCTTGGAGCCTGCTGGGTGGCTGAGGTGGCCCAGCACCGGTTCCGGCCAGCAGAGAGGAGTGAGACAGGGGCCCTCTCGTCGCCATCGCTGAACGCGGCTCGACGAATTCGTCAGTTGCGACCCCGGGAGGGGTTTGGGGGCCGATTTTGAGCGAATTCTCAACGTTTCGCGTATCCGTGCAAGATTCCATGCAAGGTTCACACTGGGAACGGACGGTCAGGTGGCCCCTGACCTGCTCTTGTCTGGTGTCGGCCTCCACTGGCGACCGGGAGGGTTCCGTGAGGTCTCGCTTCGAATTTCATGCATGACCACACTGGGGATGGGCGGCCAGGTGGCCCCTGGCTTGCTCCTGCTTGGTGTCAGCCTCCACTGGTGACCGTTTGGGTTCCGTGGGGACTCGCTACGGTGCCGTCTTCTTCTGTGCAAGGATTTCGGCATGTGTGGCTGTGGGCGCCCGTCGGCTGCTTTCTCTTTCATGGACTTCGCTTTCGACCTGTGCCACCCGGTGTACATACCAGAGGATCAGCCGTTTGCACTCCTGTCTGTGACGAGGCTGCCCCCTCTTCATTCCGGCGCCGACACGATGGTGTTGTATCACCTACGGCACGGATGTCGCCCCGAAGTGCTTGTCGGACCTGCTCGTTTTCGTCGGGCCCTATGCCGACTCACGCCGGGTGATCGACCTGTGCGTGTTTATGGTCGCGCCGCCGCGCCTTTTGGCTGCGTCTACTTGATGGTCGCCTCCGGGATTTCCACGCCACCGGGTTGGGAGTGCCGCTCTTGGTGCACGTCAGAGTGGCTGCCCGCGCGCTCGGTTCGTTTGCCCCTCTCATTTCTTGCTGTCTAGTCGCGGCCCGGCTAGTGATCGGACGGCTTTCGACTTGCTTCGCGAGCCCGCAGACCCAAAACAAATCCGCGCAAGCTGCCACCAGCGCCATTTCCCTCTGTCACCAAGGTCCCCCCATTCCCTGCCCCAGGCGACACGCGCTTCAGCGCCAATCCGAAGGAAACCAAGTTTCATTGCGACCAATGCCGCAAACCCCAATGCCAGTATCAGGATGGCACTTGGTTGAACGACAACATCCGATCCTACCTTGCACCCAGCCGGCTGCAGGCGCACGCGAATGGCCTGGACTGCGCATGCGGCCCCTGCTGGGTCAATGCGACGGAAGCCGATGGTCACGTCGTTCCTGCGGACTGCTCTGGTCGCTCGCCGACGCCGTCCTCGCGGTGCCCCAGGCCAGGAACCCTACACGGCCCCCGGCGGTGCCCCATCCCCCTCCCACCCCCCCCAGCTTGCGGCCCCCACACCGACCAAAACATGCCAGGTCGACCTGGGCGACTTCCTACTGACCCCCTTGGGGCCTCCATGTCCCCGATCAGGCCCACGCAACCATCACACCCACTCGCATCGACGACGACAGGTTTGGATTCTCGGCCCGCATTTCCAAAACTACACGGCGACGTGTGACATGTGTCCACCCAACGCACCCCCCTTGGCATGGGAGCCCGGCACACCCGCACTGGGTTGTTTTGTACGGAAAGCGGACGCTGAGTTCAGTTCAGCCGACGCGGGTGGCCCCCCAACGTGGGCCGATCGGCTGCCCGCCTGGACGAGCCGCCGCTGGAAAGCTACCTGGGTGTGCCGCTCTTGCCTCGTGTTTGCTTGGGACGCCAGCCCCAGCTCTGTGGACCGGCTCTTCGACCAGTGGTCGCACCTTATCTACCCCCCTGACCCTCGGTGCACGCCACCTGCCCCGAATACTCTTCTCACCAACGAGCTCACCCTCAACCGCGCCCTTGCTGCCCCCCCGGCCCCGCCCAGCCTGCGCGATGGCGTCTCTAAGGGAGACGTCTCGGACGCGTTCTCCCCCCCGTCTATGTCGGACGAAACAAAGGAAGTCCTCGACCTGTTCCCTGTTGCTGACATGCCGCGCGGGCCAAAATTGAAGGTCTCCATCATCTGCTCGCCGGGAAACGAAGAGGGGGGCGATGCCGACTGGTCCGACACAAGGCCCATCGAGGTCCGTATACACAGCCGGGCGGCTGACATACATTGCGCGGCGCAAACGAGACGTTCTTCCGCAGCGTTGACAGGCGTAGGTCGCTCGATGCGACGGGCCCCACCTGGTCTGATTCAACATCGCTTTGGCTGACATCCCTTTCCCACTTTTGTTATGAACTTTTTGAACGGGGATGTAATCGAGCATTTGCGGAACCTGCATCCGCTTCACAACGACCACTGGCGGGGCTTCGCAACCACCGACGGCAAAGAAGCAGTGCACCCGGATGACTCAGGGAAGTGTACACAGCCCCAGCTACGATCCTTCCCGGCGCAAATCTATGGTACACAGGCCCCGTCCACGTACCTCACCAAGGACTCCCACTGGCAGGGGGGGCGGCTATCTGCCGCACGGGCGGTCGTCAAGCTCTGCGCGCTTTCTAAGGACACCAGTGACATGGACAGGTGGCTTCTCCACTTCAATTAGTGGCCCCCGCGCGGGCCGCCCCCCCTACGGCGCGCCGTTGAGGCGCTGGCCGAATTCCTGGCGCAGAGCAGCTAGGACAAAATCGCACCCGGCACCCTGATGCATCTCACCACGGAGATCCCCATGCAAGAATTTCAGAATATGCGCAAGCAGTCCCACATCGCCGCCCGCGGCAAGATCGACAAGAGCGGGGTTCGGGACCGCGCCGTAGATCCCCGCGATGCCGCCCGCCCCCTGGAAGGGTTTCAGCACCGCCGGCCCCCCTTATTTGGCCCTGGCTGGGACGGGGCCGCGCGTCCTTTCCCTCACCCCTTCTCTTCGCAGTCCCACTGGCCCGCCCTGCCTCCGCCGGGCCCCCCGGCCCCCCGACCGCGAGCCGTCTCAAGAAGCCAGCACGAGGCGCGGGCCTCTGGCCCAAGCAGCGCGGCTCGTGGGGGAGGCACTCCCACGGCGAGGGGCTATGGGACCCGTGCTCGCCACGGGGACGGGCTCGGGGTGACCGGCGCTGCCCGCCCGCGCCCGCGCCCCCATGGCGCCCAACGGCCGCAAAGGCGCCGAGGTCGCGCGCTCCTCGGCCAGCCCCGTGCGGGAAGGCGGGGCCTGCGCCCCAACCTCCCCGGGCGGTCTCCAGTTGGACCCCGCTGCCGTCGCCGACGACAGGGGCCTCGCGCGTCCGCGGGGGCACAGCGCCCCTCGTTCTCCCAGCATGCCCAGGGCCCGCCCGCCCACTGGCGCGTGGAACAGACAGGACTGGAGTGGCGACTGGCGCAGGCGACGCCCGCGCTGGCACAGTGAGAGTGGCCGCAGCAGCCCGCGCGGCAACCTCTGGGCGCACTTGGCCGAGCGGGACAGCCGGGAAAGTGGCGAGCGCTGGAACAGGCTTGACCAGGCGCGGGACTCGGCGGAGGTACCCTGACCCCCCATTTCAGCTGCGCAAGGCGATGGCCATCCTGAGCGCCGCCATCCCAGGCGCGACCAGGGCGTCGGGCACGGTCTCTGCGACCCCCCGACCCGCCAGCACATCTACCGAACCGCCCTCGACTGGGCCCCCCTCCAGCCACATGTCGGGGAAGCCCCCGCAGAGACCGCGAAGCGACTGCAGAAGGACTTGGGCCCTTGGTTCAACGCCCTCTGGCACCAGGGGGCGACCGTGCACTTCCCGAACCCTGTTAGGGTCTGCGCCGACCCTTCATTTCAGCAGCCCGATTCGCGCTCCCGGTTCCTACGCGAGTGGGCGCGTTTCGAGCGCAGCGCCTCTGCAATGCATGACGCACTCAAGCTCGGGATTTGGCGGAACAGGGCGCGCGCCGAGGCAGCGCGCGCCGACGCCCCCAACACGGGCAAGTGCAAAGGGTCGCGGGGAGGGGGAGGGG